TTCCGAACCAATGACACGGCTCGCTCGCGTACGTCAGTGTACCCCTAGAGAAATCGATACGCTTTAGCTTTCTAACGTGCGTGTGCGGCGACGGCTGTACTACGGTCGCCTGTAAGAGCACGTATATAATACAACAATGTTATGTGTTTGATGGTCATGCGACCCGACGGGCTCTCGAGTGTTTACGTTGCCGCGTGGGCCTGCGTCACGAACAAAAAATAATACGGTTAACAGCGGCCGCGGCACCGGAAGTCCGGAGAACGGACCGTAGTACAACGTAGTACTCGTAAAAAAACGGCACAATTATTTTTTTTCACCGTCGATTTTCAGTACAACGTAATTATGACACGAATGCACGAAATAGCTGTAACGCTACGCTGCACGTCTGTAGTATATTCATTTTTTCATTTTTTTTTTTTTCGAATCAACCCCCAAGCCATTTATGTATTACTATTAATCATAATACTTATTTCCCTATCCTCCCAGCCTTTCCTCAAATCAAAAATGAAAACATTTTACCCAGTTATTCGGGAACGTATTCGGAACAACTCTGCGGAAAAAAAAATCGTGTAAAAGTTCAATAGTTTCATCAGAAATTTGGTACATAAAAATAAAACCTATTTTATTGTATAATATATAAGGGTTATTATTAGCTATTACGTATTTAAGTATAACAATAACACTGTAGACTTTAGCAAACGACTAACGTACTGCAACAAAATCTAACAATAAAAACGGTTATGATAAAATATGTATTCGATTAAAATGTATGACACCAACCGCAAGTGAAGTGATATTATTTGTAAGTTGCGAGGCGAAAACGTAAAACTTAGTAAAAAAAAAATGTCAACTCTCTTTCTTATCGTCAAATAACTACGTTTATCTGTTGTACAATGTGTTTATTTTAAAATCGAATGGAAAATTCAAATAGCGACAATGTAATATATATATTTATGTATTATAGGTACAATAAATTATGTCTTCACACGAGCTTCTTTAGTAACTTCGTTGAAAGATTGCATTTTAAGGTCTGCGGTTCATTTTCCACCCCTAGTTATTTGACATTTGAGACAACCAAGTTTGTTAATTAATTACGCAAAGAATTACCTATGTTTTTGTACGCATTATGCATTTCGTAAAACAACGAACGTCAGAGCATGATAAAAATATAGATGTTGGTTATCTCTTTACACAAAGTTATTTATATGTATATATTATTCACTTTTAACGTTGGCTTAATTAAGAAAATTAAGTGAAAATCGGTTTTAATTAGTATGTAATTAATTTCCAAACAGCAATATTATAAATTTAATCCTTTCTTTTATACGTTGTATATTATTTTATTAATTAATATATGCAGCAGTGTAAAGTTAAAAAAATTATAAATCAACAGTTTAACAACTTATACATGTATAAATGCGAAAATCGATTTATAGAAATTTTAAGATTATGTCTACTCAATTTATACATAAAAATTCTAATAAAATATAAAATTCTAAAATAGAAATATTTTAACAGCCCTAAAAAAATGCATTAAACCAAACTCACTAATTTACCTAGTGCACTCTATACGTATATAGGTAACACATACTTATCTATACCAATATCCATAAATTAATTAAAGTAGGTCGGAGATATAATTTATTTTTGTTCCATGTAATTCCTAGAGTAAAAAGTGTATAATTTCACGGAATCAATTCTAGAGTATCGATCGATAATAATATTATGTATTTAAATATTTATAATAGGTTTTTAACCGTAATAAACATGGCTTCATTGCGAATATTAGTCAGATAATAATGTATGCACGGATGTTTTGAAATTATAAACTCCAGTACCGCGATTGTATACTTATAATTTAATACACACAGAAAGAAACGTGAAACACTGCAATTTCTACGTTATATTTATAACTTCTTCGCAACGCACGCGCGCGTTTATATATGAGATGCATTTCGCTTCGTAGCGGATCAATACAACTGCAGTGTATATATCTGCAATCCGTGTGTTTATCAAAATGAGATTATTATACGTCTAGAGATGGCGGCCGCGATGTAGGTCTTTAGTTCAATTAACTTTATATGGACGATATGATGACGTGCCTGGCAGTTTCAAATCGGCTGTCAGCAATGCAGTATTGGTCACGTGACCCGAAGTCCATGAGCCGACTCGTTTTTTATACGTATTATATACTCGTATATACACGCTGTTCCATCATTATTCTTTTCACATCGGTTCTCCGGTATTAAAAAGAACTGAAACCGAGGCAATTGCTAAATTATCGTCCATTGTGTCTGTTTGTATACACAACCGCGGCCTTCTGTACCGTACAGCGATGGTACGAATATACGATATACGGTATATATATATATATATAGTACACGTTATAAGTAGTATGTTTATTGTCTATGATGTCGTTTTTGAAATTTAACAGTTTTTAGCTTTTTCCTCTTACTCGAGTCTTTCTCGTCGGTGTTTGGAAATATAACGCAATACAAATGCATCGCATAATATGTTTATTCATGATTATGTATAATTTATGCGCACGCATAATATATCCGATATGTGCGCATTACAATACGTCGGCAAGTTTTGTCGTATCCAATCGCACTTGTATTTTATACTCTGCCGTATATAATGTACCTTATATAAACATTTAGTTGGTCACAACATCTGTGAGATTTCTGTAGAATATGTATACACTAATAGGTCTAAAAGTATTCCATTTTATAAGTTTTAATTATTGCTGATTACATTTTTTTTTCCACGAGATGTCAAACCTGCTGTGGAAAAAGAATTAAAAAAAATGAATTATTATAGGTACTCGTTGTTTTTTAATAAACTAACGATAAATTATTATTTCGATGATGATGCGCAATGAACTCTTCATTTATTCTTTTTTTTTCCGCGTACCTATATGCTTTCTACGAAATACTAATGCACGAATAGGAGTGTCTCATGATGATTTGCTAATAATTTACAGACACTTATGAATATTAATTCTTGTATGACATATTGCGGGCCATCACACATATCTGAAAACTGCAGTACGAAAAACGTATACATTTTTTTAAGCATTGAATTTTGCGTTCTTCAATATAAAAAACTATAATACATTCTTTGGACAATTACCAAACTCTAGTGTCTTATAAATGTCTATACTTCATAAGATCCAATGCCCTGATATATATATATATATATATATATAATGCATGTAAATGTATACGTTGTATAGTCTTGCAAAGAAATGTTAGAACAAATATTATCAAATGTTAATGTGTAGTACGTAGTGTATCAATCAAAGAACTTGCTAGTCCTAAAAATAATAATTTATCACAATGAAAGTATTTATAAGTGTATTTTGTTCATATTCAGAAAATTGCTAAATTGTTTTAACAAAAATTAGCAATTAGTGTGACCTTGAACGAACACGGCTGAGATTGGCTATTTTTCAGGAAGATATAATAATAAGGTATAGTAATAAGATAAGGTATGTAAAAGGTAGAGGTTACCAATACTACAACAAAGTCTAGAGTCTAGATATGGACTCTAGACCTAACATCTGCTATTTTTTTTATGTAGACATATTATTTAGAGTAGGTAAGATGGCGTAAACTTTTTGGTGTCTAGTGTTCAAATATTACTGTCGAGCTGTTCAACAAAAGTCTGTGTCGAAAATAAAAAAATAACAAACACATCGATTTGATTATAAACAATAATTACTTATGTATATGGTGCGTAATATAATATTGTATTTCACTATGAATATTTATTTTATTGTTAAATAACATTAAAACATTACAACTTAAATTTTTATGTGATTCGACGAGTAAAAATAAATATATAATATATTTATAACACTTTATAATTTAGTAAATAGCAAAGATGTTCATTATGAATAGGTTCGCGGACCACACGAATAAGTACAATAATATTAAGACCCAAAATGTTTATAGAAGCATTTTATATAATTTGATATTTTTTTTATAAATGTATACCTAAATAATTAAAATTCATAATAATAAGAAAAAATAAGAAGTGGATTTTAATTTTATAAATAAAAGCGCGAACAGCATCGTTGCTCGCAAGCTACCATTTTGGCTACCCCCATTAAATAGGTATAATAAAAAAAATTTAGAGTCATATTTTCTAAGAGCAAAGAATTAAAGTGATATTTACGTGCATTCGATCTCTGACGAAAGTAAAGAAGAATGTTTATTTATCATTCATGTAGGTATATATCATATATGATAAATACCTATAGACGTTACAGATAATTGAATACCATTTATTATGTCAAAAACTCGTAGGCGCAAAATGGAAGGAAACTTAGAGAACTTAGCTCCCTCAATCATATTTTTCATACATTTATTAAATTAAAATTTTTTTTAAGTATGACTTAGCATGGACTTCAGCTACTTCGAATTTCAAACGCTATTTGTGCTTACTCTTGGTAAAATCAGTATTGAACCAATAATATTAAATACACGTGCGATTCAAATGAACATTATATTATAATTTATTTTCACAGGGATGGATCCACAGTAAGAGAACTGTGGATCAGGTTATTTCAAGAGACCACTTATTAGGACTGAAATGGGATTATAAATGTATAGTAACAAAAAAACACGATATGATCAATAACATGTGTTTTTAAGTTTATCCATAATTATCATTGAAAATGTTAACATTTATTTAATTTTACGTAGGATTAAGTCTTACATGGGGTTCGGTGTAGAGATGTTTCACTGCACTATACAATTTAACTAGTAGCATAATTTGTGGTAGGGGGAGGTGACCACTTGAGTATTTGCCCCAGCTTAGTATTAACTTCGACCTGTAGTTGGCCACTTAAAAAATATGCGAAATCTTCAAGAGGCTAATTATGTCAACCAGTATTAACTGTGGGTCGGCTGACCTCCTGGATCTCCCGCTCCCTAGATCTACTTTCGCGTTTACATGTAATTGTTATCATACACTTAGAACACAATAATTATTACCTGGAACAGTAGGATATGACGAGTACGACGCTCCGGTATCCAAAGCTGGATGATGAGCGCTGTTGGGCCACGGCTCCATGCCTGCTTTACCGTGATACTGGTGAGGGTGCGGGTGACTAGATGGCGGCGGCGGTGGCGGTGGCGGCGGTGGCGGTGGTGGCGCCAGCCTGGAAGTCGGCGGCGGCAGTAGCAGGCTGCCGTATTGGGCGGCCATGTTATGGTGGTGATGGTAATCGTGTACGGCCCTACGATGAAAAGTGTACGTCAAGTAATGAAGTAACGACCGTTTTTACATACGGTCGCACGTGCTCGGCCGACCGCGATCGATTGTTTTGTATTGGTCGCGCGGACGAGTGCCGGTACAACGCACGCGTCGGTCGTGTACGTGTCGTCGCTCGCAGGGAAGATTTTCCCGAGTGCAATGTGCACTCGGAACTGGTCAACTCGTACGACGAGCGCACTATGCATATTCAACGGGACACCGCATCAGGGTGGGTGAGTTCGCGATACATTATGTACGCTGCGTGGGGAATCACTCCAACATAAGACGCATCGTTATGCAATGTTTATTGCAAATCGAGGGCAGAAATTAATGTCGCGGGCATAGGTGTGCGCGCAACGGCGGCAGGGTGTGCTCTTGCTGCCTTTGAACGGTTTAAATGGCTTAGTAACGCCCGAACGGTCCGAGTTGGGCCACCATATAACGCTCAATAAAAAATAAGTCGATTATCCAAAAAGTGTATGAAATCAACAAGCTAATTTTTTCTGAGTTCAAATAGGTTACGGGTTACAGAAAAAAAAAATACTTTTAAAAATGTAAACTAAATAGTTATTTATTCGATGTTTGTATGGAAAAAATGGACCGGTAATCATTTTCGCTGTCCCCGACTTGAAACTCTGCACACGCCTATGGTCGCGGACAAAAAAGCCGTTGGAATATTTGGAATAGCATTAGGCAAATGTAATTATTTGCATACATCCTTGTTTTTTTTTATTCATGGATAATGTTATTTGTCTTCAGTATGTTTTATTTTTCTATAATATATTTACGTAAAGAAATGTTATAGCTACAATGAAAAATAAGATTTATAAACAAATTACTGATTTTTAAATCAACTACTGTACAAGATAAAGAATTTCGATTAAAAAATATTGTTTAACCAACGTTCGTGATATTATCATACAGTTTAATCTGCAACGGTTTTTGTTCGATTTGTATACACTTCTTTAGTTATCGAAAATAGTGTCAATTTACTTATATTATACAAACTTGGACGTTGATAAATTTTTATAATTGGACAAAATATTAAATTATATTAATGTTTGTTATACCTGTGATGGTGATGAGCAGCCGCTGCCGTGTATTGTTGGTAATGCGTCTGCCACGGATCCGCAGGGTTGCCAGCAGTACCATGGTGATGGTACATTGTGTCGGGATGATACACTTGACTAGTGGAGTGATGTGAGTGATAGTTACTGTTCCAAAACGATGCTGGGAAGTTTCTGGAGGTCATTGGTGAAGTATCTGAAATTATATTAAAATATAATTGTATTTATATCGTGTAAATATAAAAAAAATTGATACGCAAAAAAATTAATGTGGAAATCATTTTTATTTTTATTTTTTTTTTTTAAATCATACGAAGAAATATTGTGTAAAATGTATTCATATTGCTGTTTAAACGGTAAATTCTTAACACAGTAAATAAATATTATAAAATGTTGTTGAAACAGATTAAAAAAAAAAAATGTTCATTATGGTAAATTGTACAGAAAACTTCGCAAGAGTTCATTAAACGACCTTATTCTATCTGAACATATTTGCGATTGTATGTTTCCGAAGTTCGAACGGCGTACAAGCGATAAATAGTTATTTTGTATTTTTATGATTAATCGTTTACGTTGTTCTACGGTAGTAATAAGCAGTTGGGAAACGCAAATTTTAAATCGCTTTCTATCTGCACGTACTTGAAAATCGAACGTGCTGTTCCGTGTCAATATTTAATCGCAGAAAAGATTTGTACACATACAAGGTACGTCCAGATAGAAAACGATTTGTAAACGATATAAAAACTAATAATCGCAGAAAACCCAGTCGTTATCATTAATCGACCGATAAATAAAAAAAATTGTATATGGTTTTTATCATCAAAAATGCAATAGTAATTGCCCTAAAATATTATCCGTTTACGTCATTTTTATATTGTTGTACATGCGTTTAATTCACTCGAGTTTATTGAACTCGTGCAAATTGTCCAGATCACCACACGATTAATCGAAATAAAACCTAATCCTAAATGTATATATTAGGTGAAAGAAAATAGTTTTAGTTTAAACAAAACTCTTATAATTATTAACTATATTACAACGTCGGACTATACGTCAGTTGACGCGCGTCTAAACGCTAAAATAATAATCGCGTTAATTGCCAAACATAATTTTCTAATAAATGTACTGCCGAAACAAATAGTTACGAGTCTGATTTAGACACAGAATTAGCACACGCGTTAAATATTTGGTATTTGGTTCGATGAAGTTCGACGAAGTTCGATCTCGATATCGTGTAAAACAAAAATCTCACGACCGAAACACCGCGTACGCAGCATGTCATGTACGTTACAATTATTATAGCGTTCGCATGGGGTGGGTCGTGCTGATGTTCGGTACATCTTTACAGCGTGTAAAGCCGCGATGAACAGTTCGCGCATAGTAATTAGTCGAAAGCATTATCGATCGTTGAAAATCGACTATAGGTTTCCCCCCACTTCTAACTACTACTACGATTACTATACGTTCTACTACCACCACTCCGATCTCGGGTTTGTTTACGAGTGCTACAGTGATCCAAAGTGTATGCGTGTGCGTACGCGTTTGTGACGGTACCGCCGATGCCGCCAATCCGATCTATTGTTTCCCAATCGAATTTGGAGTACATACACTATACCGGACGACGGTGGTGGAAAATAAAATGAGATACAGATCGGAGTCGGCATTTGGACAAAAGACGTTCGGAGAAGTGCAAACGAATATATATATATATATATATATATATAAATGTGTGTGTGTGTATATGTTTTGTACGTTTATACGTAAAAAATATACAGTAAAAAAAAAACAAAAACAATGAAGAATTAAGAAGCGAATAAAACGAGTGTACATATAACTGGTTTGGTCGGGTCCAATATAATTTACAAATCTACTCGATAACACAAGCACACACGCGCACACGCACACGCGTGTACATCGTGCAAGCATAAGCGCTCTTCTACACCTGTAAAAAGACAACAATAGCTCTTCCGAAGAGCAGCCGAAGAGAAAAATAAATAACTGAAACAGTGGACCCGTGGGAAAGCCCGAATACGACACATTTGTTACGAACACCCGACTTCTATAAATCTTCTTTTCGGATCGTTTGCCGCTTTGTCGACGACAAACGCGCGCACGCACCGCCAAGCAAGCACACACGAATTGCCGTGAACGCGCTCGCGACAAAACTATAATGACTGAACTCCCGAAATGGTTTAGATAACGATTATAATATAGTACGCCCACGTTGGCATCCGTTCGGCAACGTCTTCGTTTACGGACGGCTGGGTGATGGTGTAAAGCGGACGCGACAAAGTCCCTGGAAACGGGCAAACGAACGAACGAAGCTCTAAGTTTTGTTCGTGCCCAGTTTCGTCGAAAACTCATTGTTTTCGCGAATCGGTCGAGTGGTTTCACCCCATTTAATTTTATACCATGCAAGCGAACCACGTTTAATCTGCAAACTTCATCGTGTATAAACTCACACACGCGCGCGCGCATATTACAATGTTTCCATAACTTAAATAGGTTATGCGCTCCGTACACACATAATACCATCATCTAATACTGTAAGAACTTCGGTACGTGAACACATTATTATCTTTAACGTGAAGTTGTATGCAACGATTACATAATTAATTATTATTACGTACACGTACACGAGCTTATACGCTACGTTATGTTCATTATTCAAGTAATACGCACCACCGGTTAGTATACTGTTATGGTACAAATTCGTTTATGCATATATACATTTCAAAGTTCTAAAATTTAAAACTCCTCGCCCATTTTGGTCTGTATTAATATTAACATTAACGAATTCCTTACATTCTGAAACGTTATTTTTATTATTCTTTATTTATTTTTTTTTTGTGTGTAATTCGCGATAAACAATTAATATTATAAATAATAATGTAAAGATACAATTATTAAATTTTTATCTATACTGTTAGTATTATTATTATGAAAATAAGTCACAATTGAATCGTGTTATTTCTTCTTTTTACTCGAATCTAGTTAAATAACTGATGATAGCTCTAAAAAAAACATACTAGAAATAATTATACTCGTTAACCATATTTCATTTTAAATTATTTTAACGTATTATGTGACAATCCATTGATTATTATTGATATTTATTTTAAAACATGTTGGTAAAATAAAATAATTTTAAAAATGACTGGGATATCTCCTTTTTTTAAAAACATTATCGAATTTATTTAAAAATATATTTATGAATCAAAATGAGAAAATTATTAAAAAATAAAGAAATAAACCAAGGTTAAAACACATTGGTACTTACGTCATACATGTCATAAAATTAACGGCAAATGACAACACGTTTTACTGATATGAAATATCCAAAAAATAATATACACACGAATTAATAAATTTAATAATTAAAAACTTACGAATGTAATTTTCAGAAAGTATTAATAGACATAACTACATTAAATATACATGAATACATACCGATTCACATAATTTACGGAACATTACATAATTGTGTTCAATTCTTTTAGATTCCACATTTTATTAAATTATTATCTGAAGTTTAAAACATAGAGTTGAGTATTACGTTTGATAAGCCCTAATATTATGGTTACTTCGAAATGAAACGAATAGATATTTAGAATAGTATAATTAATATTTAAAAGTATTATTGTAATATAAATATTTTTTTAACTATTTATAAAAATACTCGACCGTAATTATAATTAATATTAACTATTAATTCAAATTATTTTTCAGTGGAACATGTTTTTTCAATAATTATATAGACATTTAATTCAATTTCATATTAAATGTAACAAATTAATAATAATTATAGGTGTTTATATTAATGTTAATGTAGGTACCTATCTAAAAATATTAACTATTTTGAATAATTTATGTTTTTTTTTTTTTAACTAAATTATGAACTACGAAATGAGTATAAATATACATTGTAATCTAAACGTTGTATCAGTACAATAGTTTCCAATATTTCTTATTTTAATTTTATTTATTTATTTATTTTTTTTTTTTTTTTTTAATGGATTTACGACTTATATTTTTATCATGCGACAGAGCATGATTTTATCTCTAACAGGATTTTATAAGGTGACTCTAAGTTATATTAATCACATTATTTCTTGTTTTTTGTTTTTTTTTTTTGTGTGCTTTGATCAATCGGGGATAAACTATATACACCCATACTATGAACAATTTTAGCGATTTCATGTTCATCAATTAATAATAATGTATTGAAATAGCTAAAAAGTTATAACATTACGCGTTAATAATAATTTGTATTAATTCTTAATAAAAACATTTAAACAATGAATTTTACATCATTAATAGTATAATCAGTCTTGTAGAGTGATATTAAATATTCAATATAACATTAGATAACACTATAATCAAAGTATTCCTAAATAATATTAATATATAAATGTTTAATTTACCCTGGAGATCAATAATTTATTAATATTTCATTATCTGAAATAATTTTTATTAAATTTTTCAAAAATTGTCGTGGTTGATTACTTACTCTAAATTAAAAATTATTTTGTTTAAGCATAAGCATCAATATTGTACTGCATATAAGAAAAACCGTTGAATAGTCTTATGATTAATATATTAAATCTCGACGACGTAATGCTAATGTAAAGAAAAAGAAACGTTTTGTCGGTGCGAGTTTGGCGTGTGTTATTCCACAACGCTCTCTTGCGCACTAGCGCGTGTACACGCTCTTTTGCGGTCCATACCTACTCGTATTCAGTATTATGTACATAATATATATTTGTGTGTGTGTGTGTGTGTGCATGTATTTACGCGGACAGAACCAGTTTATTCGCGACGAAAGAAGCATTCCTGTCGGAGGTGTTTTACAAGTGAAAGAGTTTTCTTGTACTAATTAAAAACCTATTAAAATAATGCTCAATTCTCACGCGGTCAATATATAACAATAAATAATGTGTCGGTGCATGCGGGGATGGGAAAGAAGAACAATTTTTCGAGAAGCAAAAAATAAAAGAAAAAAAACCGTTGTGGTCTGGGATGTTAAGTTTTTTTCACTTCAAAGCGAAAATGCATTCTTAGTTAAGGTCATTCTCAACGTTGCAGTCAACCGTTTGCGATATCCGCGGCAGATGTAAAGAAAAAAAAAAGTTACAGAGTGAGAAAAATAAATTCCGATGATTTAATATACCACTACCTACTCGAATATTTCAAATCTATTCGACTCGATAGTATTTTTATACTTTTCATTTACTTTGCATTATAGTAATTTGGCCGTAACTCCTACGTGTAACTTGTTATTCATTAATTTATGTGTAAAAACGTTATTAAATGTGTTTTAAAACACGTTCATTTAATATGTTTCAAAACGGGTCTCGCAGAAATCATATATTTGGTGACCAGTCTAACTTATCTAAAATTTAAATACGAACATTTTTAAGGACTTCCGAATTTAATTTGGATCTCAATGACATACGACGGCAAGATCGTGTTTGTTAAATGTTCTCCGCATAATATTTAAAATTTATTGGTTTTCAAATATAAATGTACATCATACTCTTGTTGGTTCATTAAACGATCAAGATCACTATAAATAATGTAATTGTGGACATATTATTGTATAGGCATTTCACATATTTGGACCGGATTTATAATAATATTCAATCCTCGAAAAGTGACACTCACCTTTGGTCGATGTCTGATGGGTGTTATTGAGTTTCTGTTCGCTATTTAGCGCTCTGGAAAAATGTTCGTCTACTACGGCGGCAACGTCACCGCTGTAGTGGGTGAACACCACGCAATTGACAGACACGTATTGCGCGTGTGCGGCGGCACGCCTGTCCCCGCGCGTTCTCGAATCATCCACGTTGTCTTCGTCCTCATCCATTTCAGTACGAACATCTACAAAAAACCAACCACAAACGAAAAAAAAATATTTATATGTATATATATATAAAAACTGTTTTTAACGGAAAAAACTTTTTAAATCCATCATCTGTTCATTACGTCTTATTTCCCGTTTTTGCATCTTAATTTCGTTAACGACACGAACAAAAACAAACAAAAAAAAAAAAAAACAGTTTAAAACTATCCCTCTTTTGAATACATTACCACCTCGTTAAGTCGCCGTGGACTGAATTACAATTCGGTATAAAAGTTCAGAAAAAAGGACGATTTATATACCACAATTATGCTGCCTTGTGTATTATAATATATAATGTTTATTAAGATGTCTGCTCTGTTTTGCAAGACGACAAAGCAGATTAATCTTAATATCACAAGAATAAAGCATCCTTGTGCTCGTTAATTGAGGAGGACTCTTAATAGGGCGATGAATATTGTCCTTTGTAAACGCTTTTCACTTTTTAAGGATATTTATAAACCACGAATATTTTAAGTACTAAATTAAAACTCTTACTTTCTGGAAATGTAATTCATATTTATAAATTATTATATTTTAAAATTTATATAATTATTACTAACATTTTTATGTTAGTTCGTAGGTCTAAATAAAAACCGCGATAAAACTAACAGTCTCGAATGAGTGTTAGTTATATATTTTGTTTGTATAAGTACATTTGAAAGCAGTGGTTATCTTAGATTTTAAATAAATATATTTGTTAATTTAAGGAACTTCAAGATTTTATAATAATTTTTTTATTTACTTGGAAATATTAGTGTAAATATTGACGCACTCGTTTTTCGACTGTCAAAAATCTGTACTACATAATCATATTGAAATATAATGATCAATTATGCTTGAAAAAAAATGATTCTAGCTATTGTGAATTGTGACGGTTTTCGAAAATATAATTTCTTGCTATTGCACAAAATATATAGTCGTACTAAACGCGGTAACGAAAACACACTTCTTACAATAGGTCGGTACTTTCAGTTCTAGATGTATTGAATAGTTTTCACGCAGAACACCAAGCAATCGCTATAGAATAATTCGACATGCATGACTCGTTGGGTTATCGAAGGTGTGCATAAGGTATTTAATCGCGAACGTATACATCATTCTGTCTATATATAAACTTATTCGTGATGAGATAAAGTTTTTCATTACTAGTAAAAAAAAAAAAAAAAAAAAACCCGGCTATTTCGAAGTAAAATTGAGATTGACTTCTCGAGGAGAATAGATTTAATAACAATAATAATATATCAAATTTTAATTAATTTTCACACAACTTATCGAATACCTTATAAATGAGGAATCGATAAGACCTCGTTTTTATCCTGTGATATCCTCACTGTATGTTATTAGTGTTTATATAATATAAGGTGATTGAATTTGATTTTGTTGTCGTATCGTTTTAATTACAGATACATGCTATAAGCAGCGTTATATTACCATCTCTAGACGTGTCTTCTTCTTTGTGTACTACCGACACACTGTTTGCGGTGGCGGGCGAAGATGCGGGACTCGCGATGCCGCCGACCGGTCCCACGCTGGATGCTCCGGACCCAACACTGCTGTGATGCGAATCCGTGTGATCCGCTATAGTTGTCCATCTGATGGCCGGCGAGTCGCTTCCGCCAATCGGCGAAGATGTAGACGCTTGTTGATGGGTCTCCAATGCTCTTAACTAAAAAACAAATTTGATAACGTCAGTAACATTATATTGTATAAATACATATCTACATTAGGATATAATAACAATATGTTTAGTTATTTTAATAGAATTTTAGAAATAAGTACAAAATAACATTAACAATAAGAATGCGTATGGGAAACAGATAAAATGATGTTATGGAATATGTAGACAACGTATAATAGTATTATTATGCAAGGGCTACGAACCATGAAACACGTTTTAGAACAATCATCTATTTTGTTTTATTTTACACCTAGTTTTATCACTCTGGTGGAATGTGAGGAAATTATTATTAGTAATACATACCGTATTTAGAACGGTTTTAAGTGAATAAACTAGCCTAACACATAATTCATATAGATATATTATGTTCTGACGTTCAAAAAATTGATTTTTGAAATAAAGTTCAGTATAGTATTTTTCCTAAAAACAATATTTTCTATATGCTCCCCGATCATTTAACTATAAAATTACATTTAATGTATTTATATAGTATATAAACGTATTAAATGTTTTGATACACACGTAAGTTCTTGAATTGGATATGATCTTATCCAATTTTATTGGACAATTCATTATTCCAATTCGTAATCTAAGATTTAAAACCAAAACCGTTGTGAAAACGTGTTGATTGGGTTAAATATACGTTTGCCGACTGCGGCTCCTATTATTCAGACTAATGATGGTAAATTAATATTACACAACCTTAGTTGAACGATTGCTGTAAAACCGGTTGAGGGTAAAAGACACGGGTAAAAAAAAGTAGTAGCCAAAAGTTTTTTTCTTCCGAAAAACATCAATTGTCTTATCATCATATTACCCTTTCGTAAAAGACCATTGTAAACAAAAAAATAAAATAACAAAAAAAAATAGTAATAATAAAAGAAAAAAACCTAAACAAGAATAAATTGTAAGATGGACCAGATACAGAAAGAATGCGGAGTCGGGCCGGACTTAAAAGAGCATTCCTCGTGTCCCGGCACACACCGGCTGCCTCTGATGACCATAAATCAACATGGATACATACCCGTATAAACCTATAACACAGTATTTGTACCTACACTAAACTTTACAACGCATGATGATTTTAAATATATATATTTATTTATTTATTTTGTTTTTTACAATTTGTTTTTTTTTTTCTGTTCCTACACATATACCGAGTACCGTTACCTATATTACTATGTACAGCAATTCGAAATAAAGATTTTCATATTTTACAAGAAAAACAAAAATTTCCATATTAGCATGTATTAATAATAATAATAATCATAAAGTATTTTCCTGTTTTTATTTACAGGGGGCGCTTTCGTTGAACAGTAGTGCAGAAACATGGAATCCAACTCATCTCAGCCATTCCAATTTGTTCATTAGGTTTTTGGTACGTAAAAGAATATTTCAAATGTTTTTTTCATGTAGATCTGCATTATTCGTACGTGAGTATTCGTTTCACATTTACCCGTTGCCCACTAAATACGCTTGAGGAATATTTACACATGGTCATTTGAAAACTCCCAGATCGGTCCGTATACGCATTCTTTGAAAATAAAAGTTAGTAGCTACAGGTGCAATAATTAATGTTCTTTTACGCGGTTCTATATGGGGTCAATCGTTAATAAAATAATATATATAAAAAAAATAATAATTTAACAATTCTTATTCAAATCGAATATTTATAAGTATTCGGAGATTTTTTGAGTAAATTGTAGGCAATCTAAACACAATATATATATTTGGAAAAATATCAATAAGATTTTGTTCATAAAGAAGTTTTTCTATAGCACTACAATTATCAATATCCGAAGAAACTATTTTGTAATAATGGTAAAATGAGAAATTTCTGTTTTTAAACTATCATCCAAATCTTTATGATTAATCTGAATATAATTATTATAAATCTTTAAATACGAAAGTATCTGTCAATAAATATTGATAAATTTGTTTTTATGTATTTATAATTATAAAAAAGCTACAAACTCATATTTTTGAGGGGGCCCTGATCTATAGCCCACTTAGTCCTTCCTTAATCTAGCTTTGATTATAGCAATCAAACCACACATAATATTAACATGGAAGACAACACGGTGACGACGAAAAGAGTACTCAGAATGATAAACGCACGCAGGCTCACACACATACAAACAATGTATATATGTCATACATATATACATCCATAAAATAATGTATATATATATATATATAGGTATAAAGGTAAACAAGTCAAATATGAAATTGTCCTTTAATGAATATAACCTAGAACTTGTGAGAGTTAAACTACGTTTATAGCATATCTGTCTTTATATAAGTATAATATAATAATTGCAATAGTTTGTGCCAGTACAAAATGTATTCATAGACTCACAAGTTACATTATTTCTTAAATAATAAAGAAAAGGGAAAAAGAAGAGTTGAATCATAAACATAAGACACAATACACGAGTTAGGTTTAGAACACAAGTATTGACAAACAACTTTTTGCAAATATTTTTGTTTGTATTTATAATACATTTATTATACAGTTACGAAACTAGCGCAAAAATACATTTACTATGTTAATATTCATTATTCGTATGACGCGTACATTGAGTAAATTAATTATGTAAAATATTAAGCACCTAGATGTATAACAAATAAATTTGTATTTTTGAGCCTTGACCATAAATTCGATTTTATTATTAAATATACATAATATTTAAATACAACTTAAATTGTATTACGTGTATTGTATTATAATTTATTCTTAAAATTATGAAACTAAAAATTATACAATTTTATAGTTATATTATATTAAAAGATTTATCATTTATTGTTGAAATACTAAAATATGAGTATATAACAATAATTATAAAAAATGTAACGCAAGTTTTAAAAATCAATAAAAATACAAAAATTATTAATACAATGGAATAAAAGAGAAAATATAAAAATTCTATTAATTCAAAGTAATGATTTCTTTTTAAACTAAAAATGAATTATTATGATTTCCGCTATTAAACTATTAAAATCAGAATAACTAAACAAATTAACTTTAAGTAGATCGTTATTAATATTCCATTAAATATTATTATATACTAACTTAAATCGATGGTAACTATATCTTAGGTTACACATAACTGTTTATTAAAAACAATTAAAAAGTTTTATAACAAAATTACCTATATAGTTTTAAACATAAATGTAATAATAAAAAATAAATTATGATTTATTCATCAAACATAATTAATTAGAAAATATTAGAATCTAAAAAATGTAAACAAAAGATATAAAATATTATATACAAAATACATAAATAGTTGTTCTAATGAATTGTATGAATTTTTTATAACGGGTTAACTATAACTATACATTAAAACAAAACATTATATTCCAAAACAATCACGTCTTTAGAAGGTTGTCAACACAATGCGGGTCGCGTGTCGGATAAAAACGCCTGAAGCAATAATATTATCCTGTTTCTCTCACATTCTACAAATAATTCACCACCGTTGCCGACACATTTCAACAAAAATCTTTTATTGTAAAAACTTGTTTTTGTTTCAATATTGAACTGTTGATATGCACAAATTTTGCTTAAAATCATAAATGACTTAATTTAGTGAACCCAATTGAAATTATAACTTTAAATCGAATGACATATTATTTATAATATAACAGAGATTAATGAAAATATTGATTTTTATTTAATTGTTCCTGGAAAAAAATTATGTATAATATTCAATTTTTATTAAACTATAATAATATATGATGTATCAGAATAATCAATTATTAATGAGTATATTTATGACAACAACAACCTCAACTTAATTTGATGTTAAACAAAATACCGTAAGTATTTTGAATGATGAAATAATGTTCACAATAATTTGTCAATGTACACGTATATAATACATGTAAACATATATTTTCAATAACGATGATTATTCCATGATATGTATTCAAATTGTAAAATGTTTTGTGTATTTTCCTGAAATGAATGATACCTGACTACATTTTATTCACATTATGTACATAATATTTTAATATACATTTTTAATTCATTTCATAGAAAACAGGTAAATGCAATAATTGAAATTATTGCTTTGCATTTTTTACAGTGAATGACATTCAATTCCAGACATTCGTAGCATAATATTTTTCCATGTCTGGACATAATTTGATAATTACACATACAATTTCACATGATGCATACCACTGTTTATAAATAACTGCAGTTGAATACTAATTAATTCAACGTGATAACTTTCATTTTGATATATTTTATTATAAAATTGTGTAAATTATATTAATCTTGATGGAACAGTATTGATAAATGTGTACTTTACCTTTAGACCAATATATGTTCATAGTCACATAAAATAAAAATAGTTTTGAGCTATATCATCAATCATATTTAACAGTAATAACAATTAACTATTTATTTAATAATAATCATGAAGACAATCTAATCGAGTATAAGTTGTATCATCATAATATTATATTTGCTTTATAAAAATACGAATTGCTTAATTTGTGTAAGCGTAAATATTTAAATAATGAATACTACAAATAAGTTATTTGTAATAAATAATATTTGAAATAACATTGTTAAATAATTAAAATTAAATGCATGGAATTTTTATTTAAATTTTAAAACACTGTTCATACTCAATATATGTAAATATATATATAGTATTAGTAAGATAAAAATTAAATTTTAAACGTCCAAATAAAGTTTAATATTATTAAATTAAATATTTGTAAACACAAATAAAAATTTTTTTCTGTATCCTAATTTAAATATCATGAAAATTTGAGGGGCCCTTGGCTGCAACCCAGACAGCTTTTCCCTTAAACCAGACCTGTATACGTTTAAGAAATAAATTTACTATATTCTTCTATAATCCACTTATCGATAATTTAATTCTCAATGTTCCCAGCTATGAGCTATGAACTATAATATAGTTAATTAATATATATATATGATGTATGGAATCTAAATATTTTACAATTAT